AACTTGCAGATCTTCACCCACTGCTTACGGCAATGCTTGACCCTGGTGTTGAGCGGCAGCCTCCTGTAACACCGGGCACCATCAGAGTGCCAGATGACCGCGTTGTCGCCGGCAGTGTGGTTGATCATGAGGTCCTCCGTCTCGGCGATGCTCTCGGGCCTGGTCTTCCCCCCTTTCGGCGTGGTGTACAAAGGGAGCGGGTAGATCACCGTGGACTTTCGATCTCCGCGGCGGGACATGCCGAAGTAGCGGACATGGAGCAGCCGGCCATTGTTGAGCGTCACGGTGCGCAGAGTCGTAGCATCCACCTCGGAGGAGTAGGAGGAAGGGGGGTGGTTCGGATGAAGGGGAAAAGTTATGTGGGAGGAGACCTCGCATTGCCCAGAGAACACGACATCGCGCTGCTCCATCTTACTGCCGATAGCAATGACGTCGCGCAAGGCGTCCAAGACCTCCTTGCAAGTCCTGTTCGCCACTCCTGTCAGCTGCGCTGCGTCATCCTGATGTATCTGGCATGTCAATTGCCCGCTTGCGAGCCACGCCAAGGCGGCGAGCTTCTTCATTGGGATCTCGTGGTCTGCCCAAGTCCCAGATGTTGCCCTGTTAAACTCGCGGCAACCGCGCCTGTAGCACTGCGCCCCAGGGTGACGTTTGCCGCGGAAGTACGTCTTACCCAAGGGCCACTGGCAGCCTGCGCATTCCGTGTTGTGGAGGTCCTGGAGGAAACCGAGCTTCACGAGCATCCAGTAAGCGGCCGTGTCGTCCATGGCAAGTATCTCGTCAAACGTCCACCGCTCCGCCTTGGCAACCCGCCCGCGACGCACCGTATCAGCGCCTTTCTGCTCGGTCGGAGTGTAGAAAACGCCGGTGCGCTCCAGGGCCGCCCTCTTGCGCTTCCACGCTGCCCTCGCCTTGCGGGCCATCGCCAAACTCTTGTTCGACCGCTCCTGCGAACTCCGCTTGTTCCGCTTCTTCTGGGCGAACTTACGGAACTTGGTCTTGACGGGAATGTTCGGAGTCGCTGCGGCGGGCCGGCGGATCGTGGCAGCGGCGGGCTTGCGCTTCGAAGTGCCGTGTGTGCCCACTGCAGCGCCGCGAACCATCGCTCAGGAAGTGGACGCGCGCCAGCCTGAGTGCGCGGGGGGCAGGAACTGGAACCGAAACGGCAACTGGAGTGGCAGACATGGGCTACACGGGGGCGTGTAGACGCCGCTGCGCACACGGCAGTCGATTGCTGGAAAGGTCCAGGGGCGATCGCGGCATAATGGGGCAGAATCTTTTTTTCTAGCGGGCCCGACAGCTCGCGCATGATTGCAAGCACACGCACGGACGGCCAGGAGTAGGTGAGCGGGAGGAGGCGGGTGCAGGAGCGGACACAGCATTGCTGGTATCACGCGCGCAACTACTCCGAGAGAGGGCGCGGCCTCAGGGGACCGAGGCGTCAGAGTTGATCTTCGGCTCCAAGCGTCTCTGCAACGTCTTGCTCACCTCGTCGTCCGCGCTGGCCCCTCCAGCAGGCCCCTTGTCCGCTTTGTTTTCCTCGACCGTCTTGGTGCTGTTGGTAAACTTGTCCTTGAGGTCCTCGCCGCTGTAGTTCGGGCGAGCGGCCACCGCCTCTCCCTTTGTGAACCTGCGCCAGGCCTCATCCTCCACCGAAGGGGCCGCCATCTGTAGTTCAGGCCGCACAACGGCGCAGAGCCGGGGGTCAGCGAGTGCGCGCGGCGACGGGCCGCGGCCCGACGATCTCGAGCCTGAACGCCTGCGGCGGCGACTCGATATCGGGTCGGTCTCTGAGCGTGCACCGATCAGACATGGGGCCAACAGGCGCAGCTACGACAAGGGGCGCCCTTGCGATGGCGGGGAGTCTGAGCGACGATCCCTGATTGATAATAATGATGTAATCTTTCTTGGTTTTCAGGGTGGCCTCGCTGAGTTCGATTATGTCTGCAATCATGGCAAAAGGGACCGCTGCTGGCAGCGCGGCGCGCTGCCCGCCTGGCTGAAGCAAAGATGCGATAGTGTTTCTCCAGGGCCCGCGAATTACCGCGAAGCTCGGCGCGTCGGTGGCGGCGGTAGTGTACATGGCCGATGACTGGAAACAAACACACGCACAAAACGCATGCACACTTCGGAGTGGCGGGTGTGCAGCGGTGGGGCGGAGAGAGAGAGCTCGTGGGCAGGTGGAGTGTGAGAAATAGCAATGGGGGAGAAAGTAAACGGCCTCGCTGTCTCCGTTCCGACCTCAGGGGGGCGCGCGCGGGGTGGGCGCCCCAGGGGCAGCCCTGCGCTCCAGGATGTAGTACACCAGGTTGCGGCCCTGGGCCTTCTCCAGGTAGTACTCCGCCTGCATCACCTGCACGAGCGATGGGGCCGCGGGGTCGAAGAGCCCGAGCTCCTTGTTGCTGTACCGCAGGCCGTATGCGTGCCTCGGCGTGCCCTCGCGGCAGGGGTCCTCCAGGACCACGAACGAGCGGCCAGAGTGGACCTCCTCGAAAATGACGTGCTCGTGGGTGGGGGCGAAGAAGGTCATGGCGGAGTTGTTCCTCTGGGAGCTGTAGAGAGAATTGTCGTTGACCTCCTGCATTGTCAGGACTGCCAGGTCCTCCGGAGAGAGGTCCGCCATCGTGGCGCCCATGCCCGCCCACCACGCCGCCGTCAGGAGGAAGTTGCCCTGGTCTGGCACGGGGGTGAGGAGGAGACTGATCTCGGACCCGCAACCGTGCAGGACGGCAACGCCCAGACGATCGGGCGAGTTGCTCGGCCAGGACTGGATAGCGAATTCGACGCAGGAGGCCGCGTTCGCAGTGGCCACCGCCAGCCGCACCAGGGCCTCCTGCTGAAAGCAGGTCGCCAGCGCGAGGCAGCCGTCGAAGAGCAGCACCTCGCTGGTGGTGGCCGCAATGCGGCGGAGGTTCGCGATGAGGATCATGAGAGCGTCGTCCTCCAGCTGGGACAGGACGGCCGCGATCCGACTGTAATCGGGAGACGGCCTGTCGGCGTACAGCTGTCTGTAGGCCGCGAACTCGGCGTGCGCCAGCACGGCGGCCACGCCGTCCTTGACCTCGCTGCAGAGCTTGAGGAGCCACGGTACCTGGGCCACGGGCCTGGCTCCATAGAAGATCTTGATGATCTCCACCTTCGCCTCTTCCACTGGGACTCCGAGATACTGCGACAGCGCGGACCTCCACTGCTTGTAGAAGCGGCACACGCGCGCGAGCATGGGGAAGCGCTCCTCGGAGTACACGCCCGCCCGCTGAAGCGCTACCTTGAAGAGCCGCGGGTGGCAGCACGGAGCGTCGGAGCCCACGTGGTCAGGGAAAGCGACCTTCCTCGCCTCGCGAGACAGTTTCTGCCCAGCAGGCCCGCGCGCAAACTTCCGCTTGTACCACTCCTTCGTCTGGTGCGGCACCTGCAAACTGACGACAGAGTCCTCCCCGTTGGCCACCCAGGCGTCATCGCACCTCTGCAGGTACGCTTCCAGCATCTTCTGCCCCCGATCGGTCCCAGTCTTCGCATGCTCCGTCAGGGCGATAAAGTCTGGCCTTTCCGTGCACTTGAAGTCCGTGGCCAGCCTGCCCTCGCGGCCAGTGACATCTTCCATGTTCTCCAGGATCATGCTGTACCACTCCACGGCTCCGTCCTGCGTCAGGTTGGCCTGGGCATCGACGTGGTCGAACGGGGGCCCCCAGTCGCTCCAGCTCCCGAACGCCTGATCGGCCCCATTCGCGACCATGGCTTCGACCATGGAAGAGGACCACGGGGGACTTCTCCAGAGCATCGATCAGGTTTTGCCACTTAGAGGCATGTTTCCTGCCCGCCTGGCGCGCCCCTGGCAAACAAGGGAGGGACGAGAACAAGTACTCCTTCAGGACATGCTTGGCCGGCGCGGCCTTGTGGGCGGCGACGACGAGCTTCGTAGCCCCCGCGTGGGCCTCGCCCTCCTCGCCGGGCGGAGAGCCACGGCCGCCGCTGAGGCGCGTGCCCAGCCACGCGGTGTCACGAGCGACCCTCGGGCAGACGGCCACCAAGTTGTCCTGCATGCGCAGGCAGTTGGGGATGGACCCCTCCGCACTCTTGAAGTAGGGGCGGCACCAGTTCCGAAACATCAAGCACGAAGTAAACCCGTGGGCGAGGAAGGGGTCGAGCTCCGCCTGCGGGATCTTGAGGAACCTCCCCTTGGAGTGATCCACGTCCTTCGGGTCGTTCACGAACTGCGCGCGGCCCATGCGGCAGCAGATGATCCTGCGCTGCAGTTGCACCAGCGCCTTCTCGCTGCTCCCAGAGAACTCGATGGTCGGGATGTTCTCCCAGTTCAACTCCAAGTCTTTCTTGGACTCGCCGAACTTGCGACTGCTGTTGAAGCCATAGTTCACTCGGCAGGTGAGCGCCTCATCCACGACGAAGCGCTTCCATATGTCGCCCAGGAACGTGGCGCCCCCGTCGCACTCCTGGACCCGCACGGCACTCATGGCCCAGGCGTCCCCCCCAGCCTTGCGCCACTCGTTGCGGTCTTGGAAGGCGCCGCAGTCGAGGTAGTGCACGTGGTTGGTACCGAACAGGTGTTCCTGAAGCTGTGACTCGGCGTGCTTTCCGTCTCCGCCCCCGCCGATTTTGAATGTCATCTTGGCAGAAGTCACCTGCGCAAAGGCAAGGTGCAGGGCGGCCAGCTCGAGTTGGAACACGCCGTGGTTGTCGAAGTACAGGCCTTGGAGGAAAGTGGCGAGGCGGTCGGCCCACTCCGCCTCAACGATGCCCTCGGCCTCGAGCTCGGCGGGCGTCCAGTGGTACTTCCACGGAACCTTCACGTAGCAGTCATTGTCGCGATGAGCTGGAGCTGGGTCCCACTGGGCGTCCAATGCGATTGCGATGCCGTTGGCGCTGCTGCTTCCGCAATGCGCGGACGATCTGCGACCGGGCGCGTGCGCCGGCGGCCACGAACGCCATGGGTCCGCGGCAGAGCCCGCAGGGGCCAGCCACCTTGACCAGCGCCCGCCTGCCAT